CAAACCCAATAAAGGAATAGGTGCGGGTCAAATTATCACGCCCCCAAAATTGATAATTTATAATTCAAATGGTACAATTTTGCACTTGAGCTGGGGCCAAATTTGACCTGTATCCATTTAGCTACAGTGTGCTCACCGGACCTCCTAGAGATTTAAATTTGGACATCCATCAAAATCAGATACTTTAAAAAGTAATCTGTATAGAATTGGGTGTAATTGGGACAGAAGGTTTTGATCCATTTCCATATTCTTCTATATTTTTTCATATTCTATTTGTGGTATCAACCACTGTGCTGGCCCTTCCCTACTGCATTCTGCTAACAACGGCATGTTTCCAAAAACCTTTCAGGTGTTGTAGAATCTTTGGCAATGGTATTTTTTGTTCCCGGGATATACCCAAGTAGCAAAATCCAATAAAGGAATGAGTGTGGAAGGAAAGCTGTGCAAAAGAAGGAATCCACGATCTTACCGTTTAAAGTTCAGTTTGGCAGGTTTTTAAATAGAAAGCTGAAAGGAACAGGAGATGAGAAACCTATAGATAAGTAGGAATCCAAGATCGACCATCCAAAGTTCATTTTTGCTAGTGCCGTGCTAGGACAGTTGGGCAAAACTGTAGATAGAATATCCTCTAGAACCATGAAAAGACTGCATTTTTAAAGGATGCTTGGAATTAAGCATGTATTTGTGGTGCTCCCTGCCCCTTCCTCCACATCTACCCATCCAAAGTTCATTCTTGGAGCAGTTTGAAAGCAAACTTTAAGAGGAAAATGGCATTAGAAAAGTAGGGATCCAAGATCTTACCATCCAAAGTTGAAATTGCAGGTTTTTGAAAAGAAGCATCGAAAGGAAAATGGGATGAGAAAAGAAGGAATCAACGATCTTACTTACCATTTAAAGTTCAGTCTTGCAGGTTTTTGAATAGAAAGCTGTGAAAGGAAAAGGAGATGAGAAAAGTCCAGAAAAAGTAGGAATCCAAGATTGATCATCCAAAGTTCATTTTTGCTAGTGCTGTGCTAGGACAGTGGCAAAGCTATAGATAGAATATCCGCTAGAAGCCATGAAAAGATTGAAATTATAAGGATGCTTGAAAATTAAGCAGTATTTGTGGTTGCCACCGCCTCTTCATCCACATCACCCATCAAAGTTATTCTCGAGCGGTTTGAAAGCGAAACTTTTAAAAGGAAATGGCATTAGAAAAGTAGGGAGCAAGATATTACCATCCAAAGTGGAAATTGCAGGTTTTGGAAACCCCATCGAAAGGAAAAATGGATGAGAAAAGAAGGATCAACGATCTTACCATTTAAAGGTTCAGTCTTTGCAGGTTTTTGATAGACAGCTGTGAAGGAAAAGGAGATAGAAAAGAAGTATAGAAAAAGAAAAGTAGGAATCCAATGTATCGACCATCCAAAGTCTTTTTGCTATGTGCTGTGCTAGGACAGTATAGAAAAGTAGGAATCCAAGATCGACCATCCAAAGTTCATTTTTGCTAGTGCCGTGCTAGGACAGTTGGGCAAAACTGTAGATAGAATATCCTCTAGAACCATGAAAAGACTGCATTTTTAAAGGATGCTTGGAATTAAGCATGTATTTGTGGTGCTCCCTGCCCCTTCCTCCACATCTACCCATCCAAAGTTCATTCTTGGAGCTGTTTGAAAGCAAGCTTTAAAAGGAAAATGGCATTAAAAAAGTAGGAATCCGGGATCTTACCATCCAAAGTTGAAATTGCAGGTTTTTGAAAAGAAGCAACAAAAGGAAAATGGGATGAGAAAAGAAGGAATCCACGATCTTACCATTCAAAGTTCAGTCTTGCAGGTTTTTGAATAGAAAGCCGTGCAAGGAAAAGGAGATGAGAAAAGTACAGAAAAGTAGGAATCCAAGATCGACCATCCAAAGTTCATTTGTGCTAGTGCTGTGCTAGGACAGTTGGGCAAAACTATAGATAGAATATCCTCTAGAACCATGAAAAGACTGATTTTTTTAAGGATGTTTGGGATTAAGCATGTATTGTGGTGCTCCCTGCCCCTTCCTCCACATCTACCCATCCAAAGTTCATTCTTGGAGCTGTTTGAAAGCAAACTTTAAAAGGAAAATGGCATCTAAAAAGTGGAATCCAAGATCTTACCATCCAAAGTTGAAATTGCAGGTTTTCGAAAAGAAACCACAAAAGGAAAAAGGGATGAGAAAAGAAATAATCCACGATCTTACCATTCAAAGTTCAGTCTTGCAGGTTTTTGAAAAGAAAGCTGCGAAAGGAAAAGGAGATGAGAAAAGTATAGAACGTAGGAATCCAAGATCGACCATCCAAAGTTCATTTTTGCTAGTGCTGTGCTAGGACAGTTGGGCAAAACTATAGATAGAATATCCTCTAGAACCATGAAAAGACTGAATTTTTTAAAGGATGTTTGGGATTAAGCATGTATTTGTGGTGCTCCCTGCCCCTTCCTCCACATCTACCCATCCAAAGTTCATTCTTGGAGCTGTTTGAAAGCAAGCTTTAAAAGGAAAATGGCATTAAAAAAATAGGAATCCAAGATCTTACCATCCAAAGTTGAAATTGCAGGTTTTGAAACGAAACCACAAAAGGAAAATGGGATGAGAAAAGAAGGAATCCACGATCTTACCATTTAAAGTTCAGTCTTGCAGGTTTTTGAATAGAAAGCTGTGAAAGGAAAAGGAGATGAGAAAAGTCCAGAAAAAGTAGGAATCCAATATTGATCATCCAAAGTTCATTTTTGCTAGTGCTGTGCTAGGACAGTTGGGCAAAACTATAGATAGAATATCCTCTAGACATGTGAAAAGACTGCATTTTTAAAGGATGCTTGGAATTAAGCATGTATTTGTGGTGCTCCCTGCCCCTTCCTCCACATCTACCCATCCAAAGTTCATTCTTGGAGCTGTTTGAAAGCACACTTTAAAAGGAAAATGGCATTAAACAAATAGGAATCCAAGATCTTACCATCCAAAGTTGAAATTGCAGGTTTTTGAAAAGAAACCACAAAAGGAAAATGGGATGAGAAAAGAAGAAATCCACGATCTTGCCATTCAAAGTTCAGTCTTGCAGGTTTTTGAATAGAAAGCTGTGAAAGGAAAAGGAGATGAGAAAAGTACAGAAAAGTAGGAATCCAAGATCGACCATCCAAAGTTCATTTTTGCTAGTGCTGTGCTAGGACAGTTGGGCAAAACTATAGATAGAATATCCTCTAGAACCATGAAAAGACTGCATTTTAAAGGATGCTTGGAATTAAGCATGTATTTGTGGTGCTCCCTGCCCCTTCCTCCACATCTGCCCATCCAAAGTTCATTCTTGGAGCTTTTTGAAATCAAACTTTAAAAGGAAAATTGCATTAGAAAAGTAGGAATGCAAGATTTTACCATCCAAAGTTGAAATCGCAGGTTTTTGCAAAGAAACTTTTAAAGGAACACGGGATGAGAAAAGAAGAAACCCAAGATCGACCATCCGAAGTTCAGTCTTGCAGGTTTTTGAAAAGAGAACTGTGAAAGGAAAAGGAGATGAGAAAAGCTGGAATCCAAGATCGAGCATCCAAAGTTCATAATTGAAGGTTTTTGAATGGAAAACTGTGTTTGAAAGGAAAAGTGCATGAGAAAAGTAGGAATCCTCGATCTTACCATCCAAAGTTCATTCTTGCAGCTGTTTGAAAAAGAAATTTTGAAAAAAATAGAAGGTTTTGAAAAGGAAAGGAAAAAACTACACATTTTGAGCATCCTGGAGTAGATTTTGGAATATTCTATCTAGGGGGTCCGAAGATATAGTTTAGTATTGGGTCAAAAAACCCTGGGTTTTTTCAAAATAAAAAACAACCCCTACGAAACTGGATTCTATCTACTCCAGGATTATTATATGTATAAATTTATTATTATTTGTTGATATGACAAGACCTAAATTAATATAAAATGCTAAAAAATAATAAATTCCATATATATAGAAAACAAATTTTAAATTTTCAAGGGTTCCCAATTTGTCAACCTATTTCTTTCTTATGAAAATATGATTTTACTTGGGAAGGGGTGATACGAAAGGTAGTTGTGTCAGACGTTATAATTCTGATTGTCGTTGTGATATGACTCCAGCTTGGGTGGTTCATGAACCGTGGACGGGCATGAAATTGGACATTTATAGCTGAACGGAGATATCTGCATCCGAAAAGAGGGCACCCCACGATTGCCATGGTTGATCATCACTTAGTCTATTTAAAGAGCCATTTAGAGGTATATTGTCTGACACACGCATCGTGCGGGGAAAAAAAACACGGTCAGCGTTAGCGCAAACCCCAAAGTCGCTTTTGCGGTACCTATGGATGCTCGAACCTGTCACTTTCATCGCACCGCTAGGTACGGGGCAAATGGATGTCGAAAAATCCGAATTGCAAGTCGAATGATGATGATGATGATGATGATGATGATGATGATGACAATGTATACCTCCAAATGGCTATTTAAATGGACTAAGTGATGAGCAACCATGGACATCGTGGGGTGCTCTCTTTTCGGATCCAGATATCTCCGCTCTGCTCTGAATGTCCAGTTCCATACCCCCTTCCCCCAAGTGAACTCTCGTCGCATGCCTTGTGCGTCTCTTCACGCAGCAGCCCCTTCGTAGTGTCTCACCATCAGCATCATCATCGTCATCATCCTCATCCTCATCCTCATCATCATCATCATCATCATCATCTGCTTCCAATCCGCGACTGGGGGCGCACCGGTGGTGAGAACGTTTCACCCCAGTGCCGTTTCACCCCTGGTCATCACCAGGCGTGAGGCAACGATGGGTGGCACCAAGAAAAAAGGTCTCTGTGGTATTGGCACCACAGCTGTGCTTGAACATCTCCCTTGAGGATGACGTTGTGGTGAAACTGTGTTGTGGGCTGTCGCTATTGGCGTGTTCGGAGCTGTTTCCACAGCTCTTTTTCTAGCGCTGGAACGGCTGTTCTTGTTGGTAAGTAACATCTCAATTCCGCTTGTGGACCAGCTGGTGTTGTGAGTCAGCATTGTGCGGACTTCTGCCCGAAAAGCTCTGCTGTGCTTGCTATTGTCATCTGCCAAACCCATTTCCTGTTTTCTTTCGGTGCTCGATACTTGGCACGGAAGTCGGTAAGCTGAGGGGCTAGTTCCTCCGGTGCCGTGGCTAGGCATTTGCTAAGGATGGCCCAGGGTTGGCTTGCTGCGTCTGCTGTAGCTGGCTTTGCTTGCTGCATGCACATGAACTGTAAGATCAACACCGGTTTTGGGCAGTTGAAAGGCTGGTATCCCGGAGTATCCTTGTGCCCTTGTAGGTCTGCAAGCCAGGTGGTAACCAAATCGTTCAGCTGTGTTTTCGTTTCCTCCGGTTGAAGAAGAAACGTAATGGAATTGGCATCGAAGGCCGTGCGAAGCATTGGTTGTTGCTGCAGTGTCAGTCTGGCAAGGTTCTGCACCAGTGTGTTGTCCGGTGGTGTGGCTGCTGCTGCGGCTTGGCTAGGTTGTGCCGGTGCTGTGTGAGGTGGGCCTTTGCTTTTGCCCTTGCCTGTGCGTTGTGCTTTGGCTGCTCGTTCCTGGTTGATCACTGCCATGGCTTGTTGGAGCGCTGCCATGGCTGTCAAGTGGTGGTGCAGCCGGGGCGTGTTTGAGCCAAAATAGCTGGGGTGGTGGTGGTGGTGTATGACGTGAAGGCTTGGGTCCATAAAGTTCTGGTGTCTGTAGCAAAGCCCTTGTGCATCATTTGGATTTTCGGCATCGGCAAAAACCACAGCGGCGGTCGGTCTCAGAGTTGTAGCAAGAAGCAGCGAGAACTGCTGCTGGCACTTGGTGATTCGGGTCTTGCGCCAGTCTTTCAGTGTATTTGGCTCTTGCTGCAGGTGCTTGTGCGTCAAGTTCTCGCGCTCTGGCTGCTTGTGCATGAACTCCTCGAACGACAGGTGCTGGGTTATCCTCCGGCGGGAGTACATGAAAGGTGTTGGTGTCGAGTGGAAGACCTGCTTGTTCTCTGCGACGACGGCATTCGTGTGCGTGGCGTGCCATTCGCCACATTGTGGACATTTGGTGTCAGTATTGAGGTCTGGGCGAAGAAGTCGTATGCCTTTTAACCATACTTCGTACGGCATGGAGCGACATAATTTTTCGTTGTTCGTAGTAGTGCCATGTTGAACTTCCTCTCGGCACCATTGGCATATGCGAGGTGCTAGCCCGGCCTCTCGGTGCCACCATGTGGGCAGGTCACTGACACCAATTCGGTGTGGTGGTCTTGGTGGATTTCCTGCCTTGGCTGCTGCTTTGGGTTGTGCGGCTGCTGGTCGTGCGGCGGCTGGTCGTGCTGCTGCTGGTCGTCTTAACTGCTGTGATCGGTCGGCTGGCGCTGCCGGCTGTGCCTGTGGGATGGCTTGTGGATAATTGGGTTGGCGCTGTTTGCCTCGGATCCGTCGTAGTGGTGGTGGTGGTGGATCCGGGTTGGGGTGTCCGCCTTGGTGTTGGATGGCGCGTCTGCCTTGCCGAGGCCTTGTCTCCCAGGGTCTCCTTACATATGTCCGCCTTCCCGAAGTCTTATCTCCCCACGTCTCCCAATCATTGTTTCCCATTGTCCCCCCCGCATGTGTGCCTGTGGTGGATGGGGCGTCTGCCTCTCCGAGGTCTTGGACTATCTCCTTTTGGCGAATGCGTCCGCCTTCCCACTGTCTTGTCTCCTGTCTCCCATTGTCTCCCATTGTCTCCCATTGTTTCCCCGCATCATGCGTGCCTGTGTTGGATGGTGCATCCGCCTTCCCGAGGCATTGTCCCCCGTTGTCTCCCCACATGTGTGCCTGTGTTGGGTGGGGCGTCCACCTTCCCGGAGTCTTGTCACCCCTCCTCTCGTATTGTCTCCCCACATGTGTGCCTGTGTTGGATGGTGCGTCCGCCCTCCCGAGGTCTTGTCTCCGCTTGTCTCCCATTGGCTCCCCGCATGTGCGCCTGTGTTGGATGGTGTGCCAACCTTCTGGAGTCTTGCCTCCCCTTGTTTACCATCGTCTTGTCCCAGCTTGCCTCCCACCTTGTCTCCCAGCCTGTCTCTCTTCATGTTTCCCCTTGTGGCGGGTTGTCTCATTTTGCATTTTCTCCAAAAGCCAAACAGCGCACATACCGTTAGCAATTCTTAATGCTTTCTCATATGATGGAACCTGTTTCTCAAACCACTTCTTGAATCCACCCACGGTTTGGGGTCTACGACGGGACCCAATCGCCAACTCCTTGACGAAGAGCGCCTGCAAAGCCGCAGGCTGCGCGCCGTCCCCGAACCGGCGTAGCAGGCCCGGCTTGCGGGCCAGGGCCTTCCAAGGCAGAACGTACATCTCCGCGCCGAGCTCGCGGCTGAGTTGAGCGGACTCGGTGAGGGGCGCAGGAACGCACGCGCGCCACCCAGCCTGTGGCAGTGCTGGTTCAAGGAATATATCAAGACCCCGATTAGAAAGCCGTTGGCGGTATGTAGGCAGTACGTAAGCAGTAGGTAAGGCTTGCGTAAGGCATATGTATTGCTTACATGTGTTTGCATTCCGCGAAAGCTTCAAGATATAAGAAAAGACCATGTGTCTGCAGTGTTGGCAGTATGTATATTAATAAGCAGCCTGTAAGGCTTGTGTACTGCTTATGTATTGCGTATAATGCGTTTGCATTTCCCGGAAACTGCAAAAAATGTAGGGACGGATCGCTGTTTTTACAATGTTGGCAGTATGTGCGCAATACGTAAGGCTTATGTAAAGCTTATGTATATATTGCTTATATGCGTTGGCAGGATGCAAAATCTTCTTCTGGGCCCGCGCCTCCAACATTCCGACCCGAGCGCCGTTCTCCAGTCGGCGCCGCTGCGCCGGCGCGGCTGGTACGCGAGCAAGAGGTGCGGATGCTCCGTCCAGTCCTCTTGTCGGCGAAGCAATTCTGGGAGGTCGTGAGCATGCAAGGTATTGAGCTAAATATGACGCAGCAACTTTATATATAGCTTTTTAAATTTCCAAGTAACAGCTATGGTTTCCACAGCACGTTCATGGGCGCCCTCACTCTCTCACTATATACATTCACACACACACACACATATATATATATCTATCTATCTATCTATCTATTTATATATATATATATAGATCTATATATCTATCTGTCTATCATGTTAGCGTATACCCTCAAGATCAAACAAACCCCCTTGTCCGACAGATGAGAACCCCAAATCTGGGGTCTAGAATGGTGTTCCCTTAAAAGACCCAATGTTTTCAAATCTCTTAACGGAGATCATGCTAGAACCCCAAAGTCTACGGAGGGGTAGGGTTCTAGAATCATGTTCCTGCAAACTTTAAAGTCATGGAAATTTGACACGATGTTTTTGGGAATCTCCTTGCTGTAATTGAAAACATTTTTTGCATTTGATTTGCATACAGTTTTTGTCCTCCCGCACGCATTGCACGGTTCAGCCGCGGGTTGGCCTGTGGTTGTGGGTCTGGCGGTCTGGGGTTCAGTTGTTCCGCTAGGGGAGCTCGTTGTGCTTGAAGACGACGTTGACGGCGTTCACGTTCTGCTTTCGCAAGGATTCTGCGCTCTGGGGGCAAGACTGCACAACTGTGAGTATGTTGCCATATGCGATTGGCTGCAAATGGTTCATTGCAATGGGGGCAAAGAATAAGGCCTTGATCGTTGCGGCGGAAGTCTGCTGTGGCTGCTGCGCTTTGGGCTTTTGCTGCTGCTTTCTGTTCTGCCTTACCCCCAGGGGCGTGTCGAATGTGCCAGAGATCTTCATTTCCTTGTTTGTTTTAGCTTCTTGCCATTTGCGAATGTCTTTCTTCCATTGCTGGCCGTGGTTTGTCGTGGCTCTAGTATGCTCTAGTGATCCAATCCCGGGACCATCCTGTTTCTTCTATTGATAAGATTTTCCTGGGGTCCTGAAGGCGTGCACAAAGGGCTCTGTTTGTGTCCAGGGTGCCTTGTGCTAGTCGGCGTCGGCCGCGGTGTGGCTGGTCCCTTGTATACAGCCATAACCAAAGTGATTGTTTTTCAAGCCTGTCGTCAGGCATTCTTGCTAAATGCCCTAGCCATCGGAGTTGTCGGCTGCCGATTTCCACTGCTACTGAAGGAATGCCTGTTTTGCGCCATAGGTCCACCATTGTTTGCTTGTTGTCGTGCACGTCTTTCCGCTTTACATTGAGTATCCCAAAAATGCAGTTGTTGACAAAGACCTGCATACGGCGAATTTCTCCTTGAGTGAATCCGCGTCCTTCTGCACTGTAGCAAAGTGATGCCAAAACTGTTGATCTGAAGAGTCGGCCTTTTGTAGTTGCGGGAATGTTGATACGTCGAAGTTGTGGCCATAGTTTGTACCAAATGTGTTTGGCTCGTTGTAGACGCTTTTCTGTGTCGATGCGTTGTGATGCATCGGTGGTAATCCAGGCTCCAAGGAACTTGGCTTGTCTCTGGAAGGATTGTTCAGGTGTGTTGCTGATGCGTGCGGCTTCTGCTGGTGAAATGCCCAGTGGTAGTCGTTCTGTTTTGTCTGCATGTAGATCTTCTCCCCAAGTGGCCATTACCTGTCGTAGGTGCTCCTCGTCCTCTCTGAAGTGCCCCAATGTTGTAAAAACCGTTGTGTCATCCGCGAAGAGGACATCGTCCAAGTGGACCTCCAAGTGGTTCTCTCGTGCTGATTTCGGCCTGGTAACCTTGCTGAAGGGTTTGTTCCATTGTAAACCTCCTCGTAGTGGTGCTGCTCCTCGTTTGGAGTGGCGTTCTGTTGTGAATTGTTTGAGCGGAAAAGTGTGGAACACGTTGAAACAAGCAGGACTGCTCGGGCATCCTTCTCGAAAGCCTCGGCTGTTGGTGTAGGTACGGCCTGTACCTGCTGGTGTTTGGATCGCATAATGAGCATGGTCGTGAAGACCTTGAAGTTGTCGAAGAAGTAAAGGTGGGAACCCAAGCCGTGAAAACAACTGCCAAGCAAGCGATCGTGGAACTCGTGGGTATGCTTTCCGGATGTCAACCAAAAGAAGTAAGGGGTGGAAATCAGTAGGGTGTGCTCGGAGTTGTTCTGCCAGGTTGCGGACGATCATGATTGGGCCAATGGTTGATCGATATTTGCAAAATCCATATTGTTCCTTCGGAAGGAGGCCGGCTTGTTCAGCAAGTCGTTGTATTCTGCCGTCAACCACTTTGGCATGGAGGCGGGATATGACATTGATCAGCTGGATGCAGCGATAGTTGTTGAGTTCGCTGCGGGATCCCTTGTTCTTGAAAAGGAGGACCCCGATGACTTCGTGGATGGAGTGATCCCAGGTGGAGGGGTCGGTGTTCCATAACTGGATGTTGAAAAAGTGGACCAAGCGCTCGCATGCATCCTGCTGTGATGTTGTCTGTGCCCCCCTTTGTGTCTTTCATTTTGTGTAGTGCTTGTCGGATTTCTTGCTCTGCTGGTGGATGGCCAAATTCCCATTGGATAGCACATTGTGCTGGTAGAAGTTGGTCGAGGTGGTCTGGCATTGCAAAGGGTTCATTTCCCAGTGTTTCCACAATTTTTGTTGTTTCTTCCAGTCCAAAAGGGGCCTGGCCTGCATGAGTTTTGCCCGTGACGTTGACTCCCAGCTGTTTGAGGAGTTGGTGGAAACGTCCCATGTCCTGCAACCGCATTGCTGTGTCAAGTTGTGTGCAAAGTTCCCGGATCCATTGCGCTCGCTGTCGTCGTGCCCATTGTTGCATGGCTCTTTTGTAGGATTGTACTTGTTTGTATAGGTTTTGTTCCTGTGGCGTGCCCCTTGCTTGGTGGAATTGTTGCTGTAGTGTAGCAAGCGTCCTTCGACGTTGGTCAAGTTGGAGAAGTGCTTGTTTGCTGTACGGGATGTTGCGGTGCTGTGGGCGCGTCTGTGGGAGGCATGTTGCAATGACTTCCTGGCGATCTGGGGAGTGTTGCGCTCCTCGCTCCATCCAATCCTCAGTGCGGCTGATTCCTGCGGCGCCTTGTTTGGCTAATAAATCTGCTTGCTCGTTGTTGCTTGACCACGTTCCGTTTGTTGTGTGTGGGCTGGCACGTATCGGAAAGATACATGTGCTTTTTCCTGACAGAGTCGAAGCCAGTGCTGTGCTTGTTCAACCAGACTCTGGTTGTTGTTGGGAGCCCAGTAGCCTTGTGTACAATTTGCTGCGCAGGTGCTGTCGAAATGTTGTGGTTAGTAATGTGAAAGTAGGTCCACATTAGTGCGAAGGTTATCGCTGTGAGTTCCCCGGGTTGTTGGATAAGTGGGTTGCTCCCACCCACCGAGGATGTGTGCTGTCGGTGGTGACCCGATCGCAAAAGGAGATGTTGTGTTGTGGGATATGTATACCCCATCCAGCTTTGTGGTGTTGTGGTGATGTACCTGGTGGTCCCGTAAAGGAGCCATCCACAAAGATTGTAATGGTCGGGAGGTGTGGTTGTGGTGCAATGTGCATGTGTGGTAGCCAAGGTTGTAGTCTTTGTTCCATCTCTTGTTGCATGTGTGATCGGATCTGGCGTGCTGCTGGTGTGGGTCCACGCATTGCTGTGTAGTCCGTTGTTGGTGGTTGTTTGTATCTGGCTGCTGTGTGGAATTTCTGTCCTGCCCATTGTCTTTTGCTGGCTGGACAGAGGTGGAAACATAGTACCTTTGCCATGTGGTCTGAAAAAGTGTAAGGTTGCACCCGAGCATTTTGTAGTCGCTTGATCATGTCGGTCGTGGTGAGCATGTAGTCCAGTTCATACCAAGCTCTATTCATGGAGTGGCGCCAAGTGCCCCTATTTATTCTATTTTTGATTGGGTATTGGTGGTCCGCAACTTGCAAAAGTGGTGCTGTGCCAAGAACTGCTGAACTTCAAGTCCGCCGCTAGTGGTTCTGACTGGTAAACCATGTTGTACTGTGTCGTTTCCCATGTGACCATTCCAGTCTCCTCCGATGCAAAGTCGTTCGTGAGGAACCGTTTTGAGGTATCCGTCCAGTTGGTCGAAAAAAGTCTTGCGTTCCGCTCGTTCACTTTGCACCGGTGCATAGATTGAAACCCATGTATACAGCTCCTGGTCGTTGGAGAGCTGGATTCCAAAGATGCGATTGCTGGCGGTCTGAAATTGTCTACCCCCTTCTTCCCATCTCATCCTGGTTGGGCAATTCAACAGAAAACTTACTTTGCACCATTGGAGTAGAGCAAACTCTTCAATGTATACCACCTGAGGCCTACAATCTTCCGGGTATCTCCTGTCTTCCTCACAAAAATGTAACTCGGACAACATGGTGATGGTCCACTTCCTTTCCCTTGCTGTCTGGATTAGTGAGCGGAGCTTGTGCGCATGTGCTATTAACCGCCAATTTAAGCTTTAAGCCCTGAGTATTTAGACACACGGTCTTAGTAAGAGGCTGAGCCTGCCTTGAAGATCTATATGGATACCTAATTCGTCCTACCCATTGTCCACATCGCGAAAATTGTGTTGAACAAATCATCGGCCCAGTAGAGCGGTGCATTAACTGGTCTGCGACAGGGAATTTATTGACGTCCGAAGACGTCGCTCTGTCAACCGTCCCCGGTCGAAACAAGTTGATGAGCTTGACATGTTGAAACTTCGACGTCATTGTTCAAAACAGGTCAGTTTGTCCAGCCATCGCAGTTCTCTGGTGTGAGTTCGTTTGCCACGCCTGTTCTTCAACATGTGAAAGACCAAGTGGCGTGTTACTCCCAGCCACCCCGGAGAGGCGAACTCCAGCTGGGCGTGTTGTAAGGTCCCACCAGCAGCTTGCGACCGGTGACAGGTCACGCATCACCGGACCACAAAGATGGATCCAATCTCCAAACTGGAGTGGACTTTCCAAAGCCGGCAAATCAGGCAACTCTGCCTTTGTGTTTCCACCTCCGGACGGGATCGGTTCCACCCCCCTTCCTCCTCCAACACCCCCTCCACCACCATGCCATAGATCAGGACAAGGGCGTTGTTGAACTTCAGGATGTAGGGGCGATGCAAAAACCCGATCGTCATGACATACCCCGTGCTCGCCCTGCAAAAGCCCGATGGTCAGGACAAATCCCATGAGCGCCATGCGGTGCCCGAGCTTGAAGAGCTGGAGGACCACATCCACCAAGCAAGTGACCAGGAGGTTCGATCTGACTGCAATCCATGCCAGCCCGACCTTGATGTGGTACTTCGCCACTTCCACCACGCAAGTGACCTAGATGTTCTTCCCCTCCCATGCTCATGCGAGCCCGACCTTGTGGGGGACGTTCACCATTTCCACCACGCAAGTGCCTATGCCTTTCTCCCTGGTCCATGCTACAGCGAGCCCGATCGTGAAGAGAACGATTTCCACTTCCACCAAGAAGTGACTATGGGCATCTCCCGGATTTGCTCGGCTGATGCGTTCAGCAACATCGGGATCGGGTCTCCCAAGATCCACAGCATTGGTGGCCCCGTAGGAGGATGATACCCCTTTGACCAGTACTCACTAGCATGAAAAGGGTTCCCATTAGTGATCTTTTCCAAAGATTGCCTCAAAGACATCACCTCACGTTCCAACCAAAAGGCTCTAGCTTCTCCAGGAGTGAGTTCTGGTGGTGTTTCACTTCGAGGTTTCCAAACTCGATCACCCATACAGTTCTTAGAACCATCTTTCACCGTTTCATATTGACCCAACATGTCCATGGCCGCATCATCAACCACAGCTGGAAAAGGCGGCACAGGAGGAAGATTGGGATGATCTGGAACCTGTTGATCTTCTCTAGGAGGTGAACCATCAGGAATTCGTGTTCCATTCGGCGTGTCCATCCCGCCCTTCTCCCACACTAGGCACTTCAACCCAAGACTGAGTGGAACCCTCACCAGATTCAGGAGCGCCCTTGTGTCGCCTATACGTTTCCAGTTCAGACAACAGTTTTGCATTCTGTTCCCGAAGCTGGCTCACTATCTCCATCTCTAGGGCCCGTTGAAGGCTATCTGAAGACAACCCAATTTCATGTTGTTTCCTCAGAGTACCCATTGACTTGCCCGGCTCCTTGGTTTCCACCGGCATTTGACCCTCAGATCTTTGCACACCAGGACGCTCATCGGAGGCGTCACAAAGCAGGCTGAACTCCTAGACACATGCCCTTGCCCTCGTCCCTTGCCAATTCGGTACTCATCACGAAGCGGCGCTATGTCTGAAACCGGAGACTGTTCAGGCAGATCCCTAGGCCTATGTGCCTCCAAAGAACATTCCAACTGCGTTCGTTGGGTCCAGAAAGGGTTGACAATCCCCTGAACAGTTGGTGGTTCTGACGACGCCCTAGCCATTGCAAAAAAACGAAAGAGGGGCTAGCGAAGCAACGTATTGGGGCTTGGGCTCATAATCCACTGAATTGGATGGAACCTTAGCTGTCAGGTATATATATATATATGTCACAATATCTTTATCTCTAATTCACCGACATCAGAATCTACTTGGGGCATCGAATACCACAATGACATAATCAAAGCATACCACAATGACATAATCTTGAAAGGGGGAATCGCTAATTTGTGAGGTTCCCGTCGACTACCGTGTGTTGTGACCCTGTGAGGTTCCCCCTTCCCCGCCTGGTGCCACGCCGCGTCCGAGCTTGCTGCTGCCCCACGCGGGGCCGGAGCAGGCTCGGCCAGCGGGTCGTAAGCTTCAAAGCTTGCCCGCCAGCACGAGACCTGCATTCAGCCCGTTGCGGCCGGGCGGCCGCTCCCCGCGCCCTCAGGCTCTGCGGCCCGATCCAGGTCTCGATAGCCTGCTCTGTTGCCCATAAAAATCGAAACTCTTGGAGGTTTTCAATACCCAACCGGAGTAAGGCTTCCACCACCCCGTCATCCAACCCGAAGTTGTCACCCAACTTCCTAAGGATTCTTCGGGGGAACCTTTCTCCAGCGGGACTTTGTCAGTCTCCATGGCTGACGTTCGAGGACACCCCTCTGTCTAAGGCCCAGGGATCCCCTCCCTTCGACTGAAAACTGCGCCTCGGCTCCCCCGTATGGTGCGCTCGATTGGCCTGACATGCTGGTGCATTTGCGCTAGGGTGCACTCTATGACACAAATCAGAAACGGAGCTAGTCAACATCCTTTCCAACCCGCCATGAGTTCACCCTCATGAAGTTGTACTGCACTAGACTGCACTACATCCTAGGAGGGCCCTCCCAGACTAGCAATGCAAGCGCGGCAGAAAGTTGACAAAGAACCTTCCACCTGGTATCAAAACTGCTTGCAACAGTGTCAACTATATAAGTCAGTGCCGTTTTCATCGCACACGGGGTCACTGCTGGGGGCGTCATGCAGGCTGGAATGAATGCTCCTATCCAAGCCCCGAGCGTCTGAATTCGGCTCTCCATAGCCGGAACGGGCCACTGCTGCTAGGTAGCGCAAAGGCCAAAAATTCGGCTGGATCAGGCCTGCCACCACGAGGCAGGTGCTCGGCGGAGGCATTGGTCACACCAAGGTCGCTCCCACGCCAGCGCCTCAAAGACGTCAGTGGTGTTGTACGGGTTCACCAGGCGCTTTGCCTTCCCGCCGGCCTCCTTCTGCTGGCACAATGTTGTGCCCGATTCTACGAGCACGTGTGTGCTGGATCGCTCAGTGGCTGCATATCCCTGCGGCTCAGGGTGCTGGGTTCCCACAGCCCTCTCCTAGAAGGCTTTGTGCAGCCACTTCTTCATGCCCTGGTCCTTGATCACCTTGTGCAGCTCCGTGTCGCAACGATCTTCGATGTAGCTATTGGCTGCTTCGATGGACTCACCTGCCAGCAAAGCTCTGCAGAGCACTGCCAAGTACGCTGCTTTGTGGCGCCCCTTGATGCAGTGGAGCAAGACGTTGTCGCCATTCCACACTGTGTGCTTCACCGCCGGCCAGACGTCAGTCCATTGTTTAGAGCGCTCCTGGCTTTAGGCCGCCTCGAAGGTCATGAGCTGAGCACCTGGAAGGGCTCTCAGGACCGTTCGGGAAGCAGCAGATCTGCAGCGCTGCGATTGGGAACTTGTCCACGGTCTGCCGCATTGGCAGCCCTGCTAAGAAGATCTTGCCCCCTTTCCTTGATGTCCAGATGCAAGTCGGGGCCTGGGCCGTGCCAGTGCCAACTCCCAAGCGCTCCAAGTGACGATCCAGCTGAGCACCAGGCTGTCGTCCACCTCCCGTCTTGGGCATGGCTGCCGCCTTGCTCTGCGGCTTGCCTGGCGCCGTGATCTTTGCTACCGCCTTGGGCGGAGTCCTCGGCATGGCTTTCACGGGTGTTTTGGGCGCTGCCACAGGCTTTGCCTTTGGTGGCGTCTTGGGTGCCGCCACACCACGGGCCTTCTTCACGGCTGCCCGCATCACTGCTGCTACCTCATCATCTGTGGTCTCACCTGCAGGTTCAGCTGCTGCTCTCTTCCTGGTAAACTGTGCCTTGTCACCCAAGGCTGCAGGTACCAGAGTAGCCGATGGCTTTGGAGCAGCTGGCACAGCTGAGGCTGCCGGGACTGTCCTCTTGATGGTGCAGACGCCAGCCCCATGCTTCCCACCACAGGCTCTGCCTGACTTCTGAAGGATGGCGCACAAATGGACGCCGAAAGGGCACTCATCAGCCGGATTCGGACACTCACCTGTCTGAAACTCCGGGCAGATGGCCCTCCCATTCTTCAACGTGGCAGTCAGCAGCTTGCCATTCAGTTGATCCGGCATAAGAGGTGAGGCCGCTGCATCTGCTTCCTGTCGAGCCTTCTCTGCCGCTTCCATGAACTGCTGCGACAACTTCAGGCGCTTCCGCGTCCTGGAACTTCTGGGATGATGCCCAGATCGGCTGGCGGTCTTGACGAAGGAGCCTCTCAGTTTCAGCCAGCCCATGCGCACGGGCTTTGTCCAGCTCCTCCTTTGGGATCGCCTCCCAAGAGAGCTGATCAGTCAACTTGGATGCGGCTCCCCATATCAAAGACTTGATCTTGATGGAGGCTGCATACTCTGCTGAGGAGTAGTGGAAGGCCATCTGACCAACTTCGGGCTGATCACCTTTGTTCTGCCAATCCCCCAGTGCAGCCATCTCCTCTGGGCGGCACTGCGACGCCAGGAGTACGTGGTGATCTCCTCCGGGTTGTCCAACAAGACCGCCATCTCGCTCTGCATGGTCTCCTGGACTTCCAAGATGGTCCATGGCCTACCCTCATCGGAGAAGCACAGCCCAGCCACTCGCTGTCGTGCAGGTGCCAAAGCGCGATGGGCCTCCAAGACTTCTTTGGCCCAGAAGAAACCATTGGAGAAGCAAGCTGGCACTGCAAAGTCGAACCCTTCCCTGGCATGCTTTTGTTTGCCTTTAGGGCACCTGCAATGGAGGAAGGCTGCAGTGAGGCGCCGGGGTTCCGACCTTGCTATGTGCGCATACCTCACAACAATACGCCATGACCCATGCCCATGGGGCCAGGAGGACTGACCACTTCTCATCTCCAACCGCATGCAGTTCCACAATGCGGTCAGGTCCAGCTCCTGGTTGGCGTTCTTGTTCATCCACTTCAACGCCTGGAGAGCTCGTGCTGGTGCCTGGGTGTGGTTCAAGTACTGGTCCAAGTCCACCATCTCTGGAGGAGCGGGCCGCCCCCAACTCTCCAGGAAGGACCGCAATTCCAGCCAGGTGTTGATCACCCGGTCAATGGTGGCCTTCTCGGCGTCTTGAAGCTTCTTCTCAGCAATCCTCTGGCAGGTCTGCTTCCATTCCGCCTTGAAGGCATCGGTGAGCATCGGTGAGGATGCCTGCAGGCCTGTAGGAGCCCATCCCAATGAACATGGATACGAGGCCGTTGGCCCTCTTCTGCACTGCCTCGCTGATGTTCTTGTCCGGACCACTGAACCCTTAGGGTTGTCCTCAACGACTTTGGCCCCCGCTGCAAGGAGTTCCTCCTCCACCCTTGCTCTCGTCTGGAGCCAGTCATCAGCAACGTGATGACCCGCCAGCCCGACCACCTGGTCGTAGTCAGTGTAGGCGTAGGCGAAGTCGTTGTCGTCCAAGAGGCCTTCTGCTTCCCTCCACTGACGCGCTCGTTGCGCAGCAATCATCAGCAACGAAACGGCGGCCTTCCATCCCGGTGCAGGGTCACTCCCTGACGAGGAGGAGGCTGCTGCTTGAGCTGCGTAGTAGCTTTTGCCGCCTGATGCCATGGCACTGCACCCTAACAGGATTGCCAAGGTGCGGAGAGCAAAAAGATGCTGCGGCGAAAGCGTTCGCAGTTCTCCACGCAACAGGGCATCTTGGGCAAAGGGGGAAACAGGTCAGAATCGGTCCCTGTGGCCATAACATAGGGGGAGTGGCAAACTTCGACCCCATGCATCCAGCAAGTGCAGGCTGCCAGATCTGACCCTTCCCTTGCCAGCCTCTCAACGTGCTTCTTGAACTCCAGAAAAGCAGTCGCATGAAGGATCTTCGCCTCAGTGGCCGCCGGGGTGTCAATCTTGCTACCCACCAGGTCACCCCTGGAAACAATCAAGGTCTAGCAAGGTCACCCCTTACCAGACCGAGAAAGAAAAACAATGAATGCAATTTTGGTTCAACTCCACTTGGGCCAAAATGATAGCATTCATTGGCTCACTCAAAGATGATACATGCACACCCAAGCCTGCCAAACTCAATGCATGGTTATATATTTGCACATATATAATGTGATATAATGTGTATGTATGTGTATCGATACCTGAATTTTGCATTGTAAAAGTCTATAGTCTTTACAGTCACACTGTCTGGTTCAGCCCCGAAAACGCCCTCTGGGGGAATCCATCCCAGATCGAGATGGACAATGAAACCATGATTGTTATCTGCAGCAGGAACGCAACCCCCGATTCCCAACAAAAATCATGAGGGTCTCCCTTGATATCTCGTTCCTCCTGTTTTTGCCTCTTCAGTAGAAGGTGAAGTCAGCCTCCCCTCCACTCTCTTTTGGAGTAAATGCTTTCAAAGCTAAGATGTCTTGATCACCAAATGGTAAGGGGTACCCGTGGTGATGAATCTTGATGTACAAGGGATGGTTTGTAAGCCATTCCCGATCTGCTTCACTGAGCTTGGAGACATCCAACCCACTTGGAGTCCCCGAAAGGATTTGAACATGAGGCCGGCGTTCAACCCGCACGACTGCATGTGGTGCTAGAGTCCCTGCAGTCTGTTCAGGTCCTACCTGAGCCGGTCGAAGCCGCTTCCTTTTTGTGGCAGAATTCACAGGAATCGGAGCTGAGCAACGCCTCACTGCACTGGCGTTGGAAGCTGCATCCGCATCCGCACTGTCATCTGCCACTAGTGCCTGTATTCGATCGACTTGTGCCTCTGCATCATCATCAGAATTGTCTACCTCCACCACCTCTGCCTTGCGCAAGCGCTTGCGCTTGCTTAGGCGATCGGCTTCTGCGGCGTTGGCTTCGTCAACGGCCTTTTGCTGCTGAGCCTCTGCTAAGACCTTTGACCGTTTTGAGCATCGGACCCCCGAAGGGCTCACGAAGCAGGGCCTGACTTCACCTTCAGCACTGGGTAAAAACCATTAAAACAGGTGATGAAACAGTGATGGCACTGACAAGTGGGAATATCACCAAAGGAAACCCTCCAAAAACTGAATCAGCCTACTTGTCCAACCATGCCTAACCGTGTCAGCCAAAAATTGTGCCAGTGCGCCTTGTTCTTTGTAGTATGCAATTCGCCAAGTTTTCGGCAACCAAATAGGCCAACGTTCAATACACTCATCTCCCAGGCCCAGTAGTTTACCGTGCTGATCAAGGGGTCTCAATCTGGTTTGCAGGATCACTTCCTTAGGGCATAGCACCTGTTTGTTCAAAAATGGGATTACATCCCAAATTTGCAAGTTCAAGTAGGGAAAGAATGCTCAACCACTGACAATTTTGGGGGATGCCCTCCAATTTTCAGGTTAACGACAAATGACTGGACAAGCATGTTGAAAGGTGGAGTCAACGCGAATTGGAAATGATCATGTTCGACAAGCTGCCATGTTTTGCTTGTTGTTCACCACCAACCGGCCGTGACCTTCAGGTGCAACGAAGACTTTCAGACGACGGCCTTTCTGCCCAATTCGAATGCCTTGACCCCACCCAGGTGGCAGCCAGCTTATGCGTGGCAGCGTGCACACCTCTAACCCTTCAGGCCAGTGTGCCGGAGGCGTAGTGACATCACCAAGTGGTGGCGCAAAGCACTGATCAAATTCTTCATAGGTAAAACTCCGAAAAATGTCGCATGTGTCTGGTAGTTCATCTTCGCCCTCAGCATGAAATGCCAGCGAATCTCGCAGGGAAAAAATTGCTCGTTGTCTTAACTTGAAGGCCATACGATGTGCAAACTCGCCTAGCACAATATTGATCGGTTTCTTTTTTGGTTTCCGCTTCCTTTTCGGATTGAGCTTGGTTGGCTTTCGCTTGCCGCGGTCTGGGTTCAACGAATCAAGAACACCTTTGCGATCTTGAAATCTGGCCCCTTTTGGGCTCAGAAAACAAACCTTCACAGTGTCACGGACTTTGAAATAGCCAATCATCCAATCTTTGGGCAGCCAGCCAGGCCACTGTGTGATGCATTCATGTCCCAAATGAAGTCCATGCTGATCCATGGGGTAGAGTCTTCTGCCCTCAATTCGCTCCACGTTTTCTCGATGAAAGACAACTCTGGAACCTTTCCCTGGCGGTGCCACATACAATTTGCGCCGCAGACCATCTCGATAAGCTTGCCCCCAGTTTGGTGGGAGCCAACTGATGCGGGGGAGTCGAGACACTTTCAAGCCTTCTGGCCAATGGCTTGGCGGTGTCAAACTGTCACCCAAAGGTGGCGCAAAGCATTCAATGAGTTCTTGTGAAGTAAAGGTTCGAAAGCATTTTGGCTCTGGCTTTGGCATCTTTCTCCGGCCTCTTGCTGTCCTTGCTGTCCTGGGCTTCTTTTCGGCTGCCTTTCTGGCAAGCCGCTGTGCAAATCCACCCCTCAGCTTCCCGTTGTCGCCGGTTTTGGCACCTTGCGGCCTTGATGCCAGAGCTTTGAGACCTGATGCACAAATTGCATGGAAGCACAGATTCCAGAATAGCGCGGCAGAAAAGCACAAATGATGGGGTTATCATCTCAAGTGGGCAAATTCCAGAGAGCTTATCGTGGATAGACTGTGAGGGGTTGTGTTTACATAATGGTTTAGCTTCTACAACCAGCATCAACCAGCTATGAGGTGTGCGCAAACAGCAAACCTGCTGGGCTTAACTCCTGGTGACCCACTCTCTTATCTGTGATCTCCTCCTTTTTCTTCGCCAAGACCTCTTTCTTATTGTTGTACTGCACCCCGGTAGGCGACAAGAAGCAGGGCTTCAAGGAGCCGCCTGCGGAGCGAAAGTACGCGATGCGCCAATCTTTCGGAAGCCATGGAGGCCACTTTTTGACGTAATCATCTCCCAGGATAAAGCCATGTTGATCTGCAGGTTTCAACTTCTTCCCCACTGTAAGCTCCACATTCAGCTTGTTGACCATCGCTCTGGATCCCAAGTGCTCTGGAGCCACATAGAATTTCCGATCGCAATCTTCCTTGAAAGCTTGTCCCCAACCTGGTGGGAGCCAAGCCACCCGAGGTAATGTTGACACTTGGAAGCCTTCTGGCCAGTGACTCGGAGGGGTGGTACTGTCACCCAAAGGCGGCGCAAAGCAATCCAAGTGCTCTTGGTATGTGTAGATCTTGACATACCGACCTCAGTGGCGAATGATTTTCAAGGGTGTTAACTGCAAGGTGTCATGCAAGGGAACAAAACTGCTGGGCGCCATCGAGCAGCAGCTTTTGGGTGGCAAGACCTGCTTCTTCTTCCTCTCAACTTTGGAGTGAGCCTGTGGTGGCACAGGTGAAAAGGCTCGTGCGCTTAGACTACCTTAAACTGCTCCCAGTGGTTCCTGCGAGGAACTATATTCTATGCCCCTAGACTCCTCAAAGGTTCAAAAGATTTTTGAAGAAGAAAACTGCGTAGTGTGATATTCGACTAGCAAAGCACATCCAATCGCGGCTGCTTGTCTCCTGCTCTTGGGTTCACCACGTTTAGACACAGATGGTCCTAAAGGAAGTCACGTTGACCAAAACTCATCAAAATTCCATGTGTGAAATGCATCTTAGCCGCAGGTACACGTTCTCTGGCCATCTTTGCCGACAACGCCAGGGCCGACTTGGCACTGCGTCTGCGCTCACATGCGGCTAACGCTGCCGCCATGCTGACATGTCCATCCCCTCAGTGAAGCGCCACCGAGCGGCGCGGCGGCAAACAAGATCAAGCTGTGTGTGTGTGTGAAGCTTCAACGGGCTGAAAATCACCTGGAAATTACCCCGCCCTCAAACACAAAAGCAAACAGCATGGCCTGGAATATTTTGCCATTTTAGACTTGGAGTCTTCGTTTTGGAATATGCATTATGTATGGATTTATTTATATATATATATATTGTATGGTGTGTGTTGTTTTAAGTGTTTGCTTGCTTTCAGTATGTATTTCTCTGTTGCCATGATTCGCCACCTCCAATGTGTTGACATTTCTGGACGGGTGCATGGGCCAAATCTCGGTCATCAGCTGAATCATTTTGGGCTCGCACTTCTTCATCGTTCGTAATACCAGCATGATAAACGTGATCCATCAAACATCACATAGTTTCATCTAGTTTCCTCTAGACTCAAGCACACTCCTGTCTTACCATGTCAAAAAATGCGCTTGCCCTTCGGCTACAGGCCACTACATTCAACACTGGAGCATCGTCAACCCTAGCCCCGAAAGCAAGTTTTGAGCGTCAGCGATCTCCACAAGGGGAAGATCATTCTACATCAAGGCTTTTGCTGGAGCAAAGCTGAAAATTTGAGGTGTCAGGGTGATGGGCCTCAGGACTTCAAGCTTGTGCCTTTCAGGCAGCCGTCATCCTGACATAACTTTGGGCCACTACAAAGGCCGAAATCTGTGCTTTTGAGAACAACATGCCAAAAATTCATAGATCAATAGCTAAGCATTCCCTACAGCCGGATTTTCAGAATCAAAATTTAGATCCCGAAACTTCAGCGCTGGGGATCGCATTGCCTGTTTCAGGTATGCATCCCCAAACATGCGACGGCAAGTGGCCGCACGGTGCAGGTCAGTCATTCCAGCGCCACATCTGCGAGATGCTGCGCCAAGTCAGCATCCGCACAGGTCAGGAAAACCACTGCCAACTGCGGCCAGGTGGGGCTGAGCAGGGCTTCGAGTGACCACAACCTCTGAATTGTATATGCTGAACTATGTAACTATGTAACTATGTTCTGCGTACTTTGAGCGTGATCATGATGAGAATAATTGAGTTACAAAAGGGTCACTTTTTCGGCAGAGTGCAACAAATCAATCAAATAGGTGTGTATATATAGATATATATACATTTTTATTATATACATACACACACATATAATTACATATATACCGTACCCATGCCTCTCCTTTGAAGTGGTATATATATATATATATAGCGACGGAAATCTACTTAGAACAAAAAAAATTTTCCAAAATGTCTGGGTCATTTTGTTCTAAGGGCCTACTTAGAACCAAAACACTTAGAACAAAATGTATATAACAAAATGTGTTCTAAGTAATGGGTTTTCTGTTCTAAGTGTAATGATATTTGTTCTAAGTAATGGGTTTTCTGTTCTAAGTGTAATGATATTTGTTCTAAGTAATGGGTTTTCTGTTCTAAGTAGATGTCCGGCACTATAAACAAAGATTATCACGGCTAATCTTGAACATTTTGCAGATAATTGATGATAACCCACCCATTGATTGTTATCCCGGTTAATCTTCCAGAAAACACGATCTATATATATATATAAATACATGGTTCATTTTTGGAGTTCTGATAACACACTCGATGATCAAACCCAGAAAAAAATATAGAACAAACCCATCCCTGAAAAAAAGGTTTCTGTATGATCCATGTTTTCTTCCAAAAATAACGCCCCTGAAGAAAAATATTGCCCCGAGAGCCATTTCTCAAGCTCACCAGTTGGTAAAACACACACTTAGAACAATTTTAATGGACCATATTCCCCCCACAACACTTGAACGTTTGTCCCACTGACAACTGATATTTTTAAAAATATACATCAGCAATTGAATAGTGTATAGAAACAAAGAATTAAGTATTCGTTCAAAAACACTTGCTGCGAGACCCCCTGCCCGCGCTCACTAGTTGGTGAACCCCACACTTAGAACAAACTTGAAGGATACCAATAAGCCTTGATTGTTCTCCCTGGGGGGCCTGGTGAAGTTTTTTTTGGGGTTTCAGCCGAAAGCAGCACACTCCACATTTTATATAGAGAAATTATCTATATAAAGGAACTGGGTTTTCTTCCGGCATCCCTAAAAAGGATATTAACAGGATCCATTTCTCATGCTCTCCAGGTGGTGAAACCCACACTCAGAACAAATCACATTTTGTCGTTATCCACATATATATATACACACACACATTTGAACCTGTATATGTGTATACGTTTGTGTCTATACTTGTACATGTGCGTATTCAGGTGGCGAAACCCACACTTTGACAAAATCACATTTTGCTGTTATCCATAATATATATATATATAATATATATTTGAACCTATATACATGTACACGTTTGTGTCTATACTTGTATGTGGGCGTATTTAGGTGGCGAAACCCACACTTAGAACAAATCACAATTTGTCGTCATCCATAGTATATATAATAATATATTATATATATATATGTTATATATACATATAAATATTTTATTATATTATATATATATATACAATTGAACCTATATACATGTATACGTCAGTGTCTATACTTGTACATGTGCTTATTTAGGTGGCGAAACCCACACTTAGAACAAATCACATTTTGTCCTTATCCATATAATATATATATATATAAATACACACGCTTGAACCTATATACATGTATACGTTTGTGTCTATACTTGTATATGTGCGTATTTAGCTGGCGAAACCCACACTTAGAACAAATCACATGTTGTCGTTATCCATAATATATATATATATACACACATTAGAACCTATACATATATACGTATAAGTCTATACTTGTACATGTGCGTATTCAGGTGGCGAAACCCACACTCAGAACAAATCATATTTTGTCGTTATCCACATATATATATATATACACACACACATTTGAACCTGTATATGTGTATACGTTTGTGTCTATACTTGTACATGTGCGTATTCAGGTGGCGAAACCCACACTTTGACAAAATCACATTTTGCTGTTATCCATAATATATATATAATATATATTTGAACCTATATACATGTACACGTTTGTGTCTATACTTGTATGTGGGCGTATTTAGGTGGCGAAACCCACACTTAGAACAAATCACAATTTGTCGTCATCCATAGTATATATAATAATATATTATATGTATATATATGTTATATATACATATAAATATTTTATTATATTATATATATATATACAATTGAACCTATATACATGTATACGTCAGTGTCTATACTTGTACATGTGCTTATTTAGGTGGCGAAACCCACACTTAGAACAAATCACACTTTGTCCTTATCCATATAATATATATATATAAATACACACGCTTGAACCTATATACATGTATACGTTTGTGTCTATACTTGTATATGTGCGTATTTAGCTGGCGAAACCCACACTTAGAACAAATCACATGTTGTCGTTATCCATAATATATATATACACACACATTAGAACCTATACATATATACGTATGAGTCTATACTTGTACATGTGCGTATTCAGGTGGCGAAACCCACACTTAGAACAAATCACATTTTGCCATTATCCATTTAATATATATATATACACATTTGAACCGGTATATTTGTATACGTTTGTGTCTATACTTGTACATGTGCGTATTCAGGTGGCGAAACCCACACTTAGAACAAATCACATTTTGCCATTATCAATTAATATATATATATATAAATTTATATAAATATATATACACACATTTGAACCGGTATATTTGTATACGTTTGTGTCTATACTTGCACATGCGCGTATTTAGGTGGCGAAACCCACACTTTGAAAAAATCACATTTTGTCGTTATCCATAAATATATATATATATATTTATTTATTTATTTATTTGAACCTATATGCATGTACACGTTTGTGTCTATACTTGTATGTGGGCGTATTCAGGTGGCGAAACCCACACTTGGAACAAATCACATTTTGCCATTATCCATATATATATATATACACATTTGAACCTGTATATTCGTATACGTTTGTCTCTATACTTGTATATGGCGTATTTAGGTGGCGAAACCCACTCTTAGAACAAATCACATTTTGTTGTTATCCATATTTATTTACATACATACATACATACATACATACAGGCATACATACATACATACATACAGGTTAGAACCTATATGCATATATACGTTTATGTCTATACTTGTATATGTGGGTATTTAGGTGGCGAAACCCACACTTAGAACAAATCACATTTTGTCGTTATCCATAAATATATATATATATGTATATATTATAGCGTATATAATATTTACCCTTATACATGAAAGATACCTAATTCCTTGCAGAACTACATACATAGAATATAGGTCCACAGTGAAAATGTTCATCCATTTTTTCAGGAACACCACCTAATTCCATTGGTTTTCATTGCAAAATAGTTTCTTTTCATAGTTCTAGGACACCGGTCGTGGGGGGTAGGTACCCTTCGGTGAGCCTGAAAACTCAATTTTTCATACAATATAAAAAGAAATTGATCATTTCGGGGGACCTGTTTTTTTGTTAAAACTTTCTAGTTTAGGAACTTCAGACATCCAGGGTTGCTACTCTCCAAAGGGAATTACATATATGATATATACCCTTATACATGAAAGATACCTAATTCCTTGCAGAACTACATACATAGAATATAGGTCCCAGTGGGAATATTCATCAATTTTTTGAGGCACACCACCTAATTCCATTGGTTTTCATTGCAAAATAGTTTTTTTCTTTCATGGTTCCCCGGCACCGGTCGTGGGGGGTACCCTTAGGTGAGCTTGAACAATTTTATGAAGGATTTGATGGTAATTTAGTGGATTTTAGTGGGGTGAAAAGTTTGAAAACTGTCCATTTATGTCCATTTATGCTGCAGTATCGGTGATGTTTGGATTTAAAAAAATACAAAAAAGATCTTCCAGAATTGAAAAATATTCTATGTACACTCTTGGTGTATTCTATGTACACCGTTTTTTTCAATTCTGGAAGATGCACCAAACAACCTATTTTTGTTCAATTCTAAATTCTATGTTCGGGTACCTCACTATATAAATATAGTATATACACACATTAGAACCTATATGCATAGATACATTTGTGTCTATACTTGTATATGTGCGTATTTAGGTGGCGAAACCCACACTTAGAACAAATCACATTTTGTCGTTATCCATAGTACTTATATATATATTATATATATAAATATAAATATTATATATATAAATTATATATATATATGTACATTTGAACCTATATACATGTATACGTCAGTGTCTATACTTGTACATGTGCGTATTTAGGTGGCGAAACCCACACTTAGAACAAATCACACTCTGTCCTTATCCATATGATATATATATATGTAAAAAAACACACTTGAACCTATATACATGTATACGTTTGTGTCTATACTTGCATATGTGCGTATTTAGCTGGCGAAACCCACACTTAGAACAAATCACATTTTGTCGTTATCCATAATATACATATATATACACATTGGAACCTATACATATATACGTTTGAGTCTATACTTGTACATGTACGTATTTAGGTGGCGAAACCCACACATAGAACAAATCACATTTTGCCATTATCCATTTAATATATATATATACACATTTGAACCGGTATATTTGTATACGTTTGTGTCTATACTTGTATGTGGGCGTATTCAGGTGGCGAAACCCACACTTAGAACAAATCACATTTTGCCATTATCCATTAATATATAAATATATATACACATTTGAACCTGTATATTCGTATACGTTTGTCTCTATACTTGTATATGGCGTATTTAGGTGGCGAAACCCACTCTTAGAACAAATCACATTTTGTTGTTATCCATATTTATTTACATACATACATACATACATACAGACATACATACATACATACAGGTTAGAACCTATATGCATATATACGTTTATGTCTATACTTGTATATGTGGGTATTTAGGTGGCGAAACCCACACTTAGAACAAATCACATTTTGTCGTTATCCATAAATATATATATATATATATTATAGCGTATATAATATATACCCTTATACATGAAAGATACCTAATTCCTTGCAGAACTACATACATAGAATATAGGTCCACAGTGAAAATGTTCATCCATTTTTTCAGGAACGCCACCTAATTCCATTGGTTTTCATTGCAAAATAGTTTCTTTTCATAGTTCTAGGACACCGGTCGTGGGGGGTAGGTACCCTTCGGTGAGCCTGAAAACTCAATTTTTCATACAATATAAAAGGAAATTGATCATTTCGGGGGACCTGTTTTTTTGTTAAAACTTTCTAGTTTAGGAACTTCAGACATCCAGGGTTGCTACTCTGCAAAGGGAATTACATATATGATATATACCCTTATACATGAAAGATACCTAATTCCTTGCAGAACTACATACATAGAATATAGGTCCCCAGTGGGAATATTCATCAATTTTTTGAGGCACATCAGCTAATTCCATTGGTTTTCATTGCAAAATAGTTTTTTTCTTTCATGGTTCCCCGGCACCGGTCGTGGGGGGTACCCTTAGGTGAGCTTGAACAATTTTATGAAGGATTTGATGGTAATTTAGTGGATTTTAGTGGGGTGAAAAGTTTGAAAACTGTCCATTTATGTCCATTTATGCTGCAGTATCGGTGATGTTTGGATAAAAAAAATACAAAAAAGATCTTCCAGAATTGAAAAATATTCTATGTACACTCCTGGTGTATTCTATGTACACCGTTTTTTTCAATTCTGGAAGATGCACCAAACAACCTATTTTTGTTCAATTCTAAATTCTATGTTCGGGTACCTCACTATATAAATATAGTATATACACACATTAGAACCTATATGCATATATACATTTGTGTCTATACTTGTATATGTGCGTATTTAGGTGGCGAAACCCACACTTAGAACAAATCACAGTTTGTCGTTATCCATAGTACTTATATATATATATTATATATATATAATATATATATTATATATATATTATATAAATTATATATATATATACATTTGAACCTATATACATGTATACGTCAGTGTCTATACTTGTACATGTGCGTATTTAGGTGGCGAAACCCACACTTAGAACAAATCACACTCTGTCCTTATCCATATGATATATATATATATAAATACACACACTTGAACCTATATACATGTATACGTTTGTGTCTATACTTGTATATGTGCGTATTTAGCTGGTAAAACCCACACTTAGAACAAATCACATTTTGTCGTTATCCAGAATATACATATATATACACACATTAGAACCTATACATATATCTTTGAGTCTATACTTGTACATGTACGTATTTAGGTGGCGAAACCCACACATAGAACAAATCATATTTTGTCGTTATCCATAAATATTTGTATTATATATATATATACGTTTGAACCTATATGCATTTATACGTTTGTGTCTATACTTGTATATGTGCGTATTTAGCTTGCGAAACTCACACTTAGGATAATCACATTTTGTCATTATCCATAAAATATGTATATTTATACACATTAGAACCTATATGCATATATACGTTTGAGTCTATACTTGTACATGTGCGTATTTAGGTGGCGAAACCCACACTTAAAACAAATCACATTTTGTCATTAAGCATAAATATATATACACACATTTGAACCTATATATTTGTATACGTTTGCCTTTATACTGTATATGGCGTATTTAGGTGGCGAAACCCACTCTAAGAACAAATCACATTGTGTCGTTATACATATTTATTTATATATATATATATACATATACACATTTGAACCTATATGCATTTATACGTCTGTGTCTATACGTGTATATTTGCATATTTAGCTTGCGAAACCCACACTTAGAACAAATCACATTTTGTCATTATCCATAGAATATGTATATTTATACACATTTGAACCTATATTTATTTATACGTTTGTGTCTATACTTGTATATGTGCGTATTTAGGCGGCGAAACCCACACTTAGAACAAATCACACTCTGTCATTATCCATAAAATATATGTATATATATACACATTTGAACCTATATATATTTATACGTTTGTATCTATACTTGTATATGTGCGTATTTGGGTGGCGAAACCCACACTTAGAACAAATCACATTTTGCCATTATCTATAAATAAATATATATATACACATTTGAACCTATATGCATTTATACGTTTGTGTCTATACTTGTACATGTGCGTATTTGGCTGGCGAAACCCACACTTAGAACAAATCACATTTAGGTTGCAAAATTAGACATCGTGTCCGGGGAATAGCATACATCAAAAATCATGAAACATGCTATTTTGAATGGCAATGTTTGCCAAAATTGTTATAACATGTTGTTTTGAATGGCAATGTTTGCTAAAATTGTTACACAATGGGGTTTGTTTTTGTTCTAAGTGTGTTTGTTTTTGTTCTAAGTAGTGGGGTTCGGATGTTTACGGTTTTTCATTCTAAGTAGTTTCTCCCTGTGATATTTGTCCGAAAATTTTTTCCAAAATTTGTTCTAAGTAGATGTCCGTCGCTATATATACACATCCGACTGCTTCGGAGCTTGCACTCCGTACACTCATGTCTCGCACCAATCATCCACTGTCCGCACCTCCCCCTGTTGGTTGCGCTTGACGCAGCTGAGCTGATTTGTCAAGACCGCGCCCTGCCAGAATTCATCCTGGACCTGGGACAACCCAGCAATCCCTTCGAGCTATCCGGGAGGATAAATGTCAAGTCTGACAGACCTGCAACAGAACAAGCACTGGGAATCTCCGACGTGAAGGGCCGCCACAGCTGCTGATGCAGCACAGGCAGATAAGCCGAAGCAGCGCTCCGAGTCGCGCATCGCAGGGTGGTTCACGAGGCATACCTGTGGATTCATCTGGAAATGGGGCATACCGGGCATATCCCAAAATTCCCATTTAACATAATTTAACCAGGAAAAAAACTGAACATGGTGATCATGCATCAAATATGGAGGGATGCCCTGCTTTCAGTCAAACCCACATAACAAGACTGTGTCAGGTCACAGTCTTGCCAGTTGGCAAAAGGTAGTGGAAAAATGGAATCACACTCCGAGATGGGGAGAACAATCATCGGCACATGATCACGTCAGGGACAACACAAACCCTTTACCTGCAGCTGTATGAGCTGATGTCGCCCAAGGCGTTTCCCACAGATATTCACAAAAAATTGGCCACCAAAACAGCGAAGTCAAACAGCAACATCCAGCCCAGGCCAAGGCGGCCAAGGAACATCTGTCAAATGCATGGCACGCATCTCATCGGCACCCAAAGAGGCCACCAGCGTGTCCTGACACTTGGAGCAGCTACACATCAAGACTTTCGCCATTTTTTTTAAACCAAAAACCAAGGTTTACACAGCTCCCCGGATCTTGGCATCCCCCATCTTCATTGATCTTCCATGATCTTCCCCACCTGTGCAGCCTCAACTTCAGCACTCTCCACACTCATGATGGGTTTGGAGATCTGGACAGGCGACATCTTCGCCTTGAACAGCGGCCGACGCACCTGGCACCCGAACAAACCAGGCTACCAGCAGCTGGATGCAGCAAAGCCGACACAAATATCTGCCGCCTCTGCAAAGAAGTCTTTCATTGCATCACCTGGGGGAAATTCACCATGAGTTCAGTGTGAAAACATCTTGCGACTTAACGCTTCAAGGTGCATAGGGATATTTAATTTGGCATGCACAAAGCAAACAGCATTTCTACACCTTCATACCAAAACTAAGCCAATCTCGTAAACACGCACGACATCTTCTCCGCCCATTCCTTCTTTCTGAAGCCAAGGCCCAGCTTCCCATCCAATTTCCATTCCAATTCCAGCCAAATTTCCCCGGCTAACTAACGCTCCTCTCACACCCCAAAAGCGTTCCTCAAAAAGGCAATCCCATGTCTATCATCTCCCAGCCAGATTTATCCAAAAATTACCATCCAGCAAATCCACAAATGGAACATCCACCATTGATACCGTGCATCACATGGGTCTTTCCTAGAAAAATCGGATAACCATGGGCTGCTCATATCATTTTCTTCGTGTATCAGGCAACCTCTCCCCCCAAAAAAGGGTGTTTCCAGGATGCTGTTCGATGATGTTTGCCCCATGATTTCCACCCCTTAGGGGCCCGGTTGGGAGCGCCCCAGGGCCTGGCAGCAGCTGGCCACTTTTCAGCAGCCAAGCGGACGCCGCTTCGCGCTCCGCCGCCGGCCACCAGGCCGGAGCCAGGCCGTCGGCCGCTGGAGCCGTCCTGGGCATTTGGTGTTAAATCTATGGTTTATCTATGGTTTATCTGTGGTTTATCTGTGGTTTATCTGTGGTTAATCTACTGTATCTGGTTGGTGGTTGACCAAGCCCTCTGAAAAATATGAGTGAGAAACAGTTGGAATGATGACATTCCCAATATATGGAAAAGTAAAAAATGTTCCAAACCACCAACCAGCATAGATAAACCCAGAGTGATTTAGATCGATCAAGGTATATACAATATATATGTAATATCACAATGATTAGACCGGACCTACTTGCAAGAGCCAAGAAATACGTCTGCTTAAACAAAAACCCAAATCGACCTACTATAACTATCTCAACCTACATCAATAATTATAATAATTAAGGTCCATGATGATGTTACATCTGCTTCCATCACCTATATATTATATATTCATATATTCAGTTTTTGTTTCATCTGGACTGGGCGCAATGACCCTGCCGAGCAACTCCAACCATTTCATGAGGGCACTCAAATCTGCCAACATTCGCGTGCTAGCGCGTGATGGCGCCTTGCAAATAGCTTTCCTGCCCATCAACACGTCGCCCTAGGATCGGGTCGGTCATCTGCCGAAACGATGCAGGTTGGAAGTTCTGTGGGTTGGTCCGAAAGTAGGGTAACCCTACATCCACTGGCTAATCATCATTTTTCCCATTTTGTATTCCTCTTTTGGCAGACGAAGCGTTCTGTCCCTTCATCATACTTCATCCAAAAAACAGCCCGAGCCAAGCCACCACCGTCAGCGGCCCAGAATACTTCGGCCAAAGCAAGGCTTCGGCCGGGGCATTGAGCAAAATGCCTGGGCAATTTTGTTGACAAAGCGTGGCTCATCGTGGCTCATAAAATCAGCTGTATACAGCTTCAGACCCATAACACCAAGGAAAATCAATGATCATCGTTAAGTACTTGAAAGATTTCTTGGCTTCATGACGGCACATGCAGAAAGCATAGTAAAACTAAAGCAACATGTGGCACTTTGGAGAGAAGTCATCCTTTAAAAACATGCAAGAACCCTTGGGTTGAAGAAGTTGGAGCTTATGAGATATGAGTCTGTCAGTCAAACACCGCATGAATCGCTATTCACATCTTGCTTGTGAAACACGTCTTTTTCATCTTTTTCACTTCGAAGTGCCTCGTTTCTTCAGCACTTTTGCAGTCGCTGCTGCGAGCAAGGGTGCTCCAAGCACCGTGCAGCCCAACCTTTGGGATGCCAGCCATTGTTGATCCTACTGCTGGGGGCAATTGCCAACCATTTTGGATCACCACGAGCAATGCCAATTCAAAACTGCATCAGTGGCTTTCATGAGACTGTCATCACTATCATCTGGGCTTCCAAACGGGAAAGGGTCACTCTCATGCAAAGGCTGCCAAGAGGTGTAGGCCACACATCCCGTGGCCAGGGATAGCTGCAGCTTTCCCTGCCGATCCACCTTCACCAGCTGTATGCCTGCTGGCAAGTCGGTTGTGGTGATCCCCAGGTCAGAACACCTCATCTAAGCAAGGTGCTACTTACCTCTGCACGTGTTCAGGGATTTGTGCAGCATACCACCACCTCAAACTAAGAAAAAACGAGAATCACCAAGGAGGAAGGTACTCTTCCAACCTCTTATTTGGCAGAGTCTATTGTCAATTGGGGGTGGTATCTTTGCTTCCCTGCCATTTTCGGTCACCAGTGGCACTCCACATTTTTTGGCGGCACGCACCAGCTGGCACCCGGATCTTCACACGCACATCGCACTGCTGTGGCAGTGAAACGCCGGAAAGGTTCCAGGCCTTGGCTTTCTTCCACTCGGTTAGATTGCTTGGGGACCGGTAATGCCAATAATAATACGAAAAAGAACACATCAAAAATTCAAACATCAAACATTTGGGTCATGATATTTCACTAACCTGATAGGCTAATATAATATGTCATAATATATCTAATATTGGATAAGTCCCTTTACTAGCCACTATTACAGTGAGGTCGTAGTGAGGTCGTTATAATTTATCCAGAAACAGGGCACAAATTGATGAAAAATACCAAAACCAAGGTTCACGGCCCGACCAGTGTCCAATGCTCAGCCAACCAGCTTTCCACTGCTACGCGTTGTGAAGAAGGAATGGTTCCTACACCGCAAGCCAAACGCGTCTCTCATGATTCTCATGAGACATTGAAACTACACGTGTAGTAGCATGACCCAAGCCAGAATGGTGCCCCGTGTCTTTTCCAAACACAATTTCAAACATGGACTGCCACTCGGCGGTTTTGCTATCACGCAGAACTGGAGGAAAACAAACAAAAACTTCCCACCTCGCCGCACATTGCACAGGAGGCTCCCACAGCGCAGGGCATTGTACACTGCTCGGCCATGGTCTGGGCTCCAACCCCCGGCCGCATCTTGACCTTTCTGATCTTTCTGGCACGCAGCCAAAAGGCACAGCAGCTGGTCTGAAGGCACCGCAGCAATCTGCCCAGAAACCAGGCCCAACTTGGCACAACTCAAAGGTCCAATGGCTTCACGGTGCAACTGCCTAAGAGGAAGCCCTAGGGCTTGGAACATGCGCCGCACCACACGGTTGCGTCCCTCATTGAGTTGCACCTGAGTCTGATAGGTTGCCTGGTTGGGACATGCTGGTTGGTATGGGCTTGTTTAGGCAACACGTGTTGGTTGGAAAGGTTTGAGATTGTGGCCATCAAGGAATTACACAGCAATTAGTGACCAAGCAACCATTCACCTGATCATGAAAGGCCCAGTGGTGCGTACTGACGCACGTGTAGATCGGATATACAAGAATCACAAGAATCACAAGATAATGGCTGAACCCTCTGTGCGGCTTTCCATTCTCCAAGCGGCTCGAATTTGAATTTTCCTGGCCACACCAGGCATGCCACCTCCACGCGACACTAACTCGTGACCAAGCACTTCTGCCGAGAGGGCACGTGCGGGCGTACCAGTGTCGTCAATAGGGACACCATGAAGCAGCTGTTGTATCTGCTCGGCAGAGGCAGTTGGTCTATTGACCTTGTGAAAGCATCTTGGACACTTAAAATCAATGGAAAATACAGACCGCCATCTGAAGGTAAGCAGGCAAAGGTCTATAATCTATAACTTTCAAGTCACCAGGCGCCCCTCACTTCCATGAAAACAGACAACTGAATAAAACAATCGAGCGAGTTTCTGTTGCCACGTAGGTCTTGGGCACGCCACCTTGTGCCAGTAGAATCCGGTGCACATCCCCATTGTCCGAAAGTAGCAGCAATCCCGTGGTTCCTTTGTCCAAACGCCCAATGTGCGGCACAACTCTGTGGCCAGACTCCTGCAGAAACTGCTTCAAGTTCCTCGGCTCCTGGGACGCCATAGTTGTGACCACACCGTATGGTTTCCAAAGCGCCAGCAGAGGAGACCCGCAGTCAGTGCCATCTGCGGTGGGAAACAGCCACGCATCTGCCGCGTCAAGCAGTTTAGCGCCGTCCTGCACTTCGCCCCAAGGAAGGTCAACACGTCCTGCCCGGCAGCCCCGGCAGCCCCAGCAGCCCCGGCAGCCAGAGACGCAAGGACAGCACTTCCAAAGACTCAAAGGTCGGAGCCAAAAATTAGATTTCAACCATTTTCAACCACTGAAACACACAAGTCCTTCTGGAAGCACATAGTGATGCAGAAATCCCATGGATGATATGGATGTCATCTCTCGCTGCTGCTTTGTCAGCAGGAAGCTCAAAGGCCTTGGAACTCCACGTAATCCTGCAGCCTGCTCCAGAGTGACCAAAGGCTGTGCAAAAGCTGCAGTGTGGATGGCGGCGTATCGAGCATTCCATCCAGCTCGTTGCAGTCTGGGGCTCGATGTTGCAAGTAGCACTCCAAAGATGCCAATGTAAACCCTATGGGAACGCCTGTCCAGGCGCACAGGTGAAGAAAAGTGGAAGAGTAGGCTCCGTGTGTTTGGGTGGGGGAAACCTGCTCACTGCATTCGAGAAAAGATGGGTGAAGCTTGGGAGAAGTGGCATGTAGGATCTTGACACCAACCATGCCGGACTGTGGCCAGCACGCTCGGGGAGAAGCTGAGAGACAAGCTGCACAGCAGAGATGTTAAGTAGTAGGGCAGCCCAAGATTTTCCTTCATTAGAATTGCAGTTTTCAGTATGTCCTACTCCTCGGCAAACCCATATGTAAGAGTCCATAGCGATAATCTGAATGGTCAAAATTCATTCAGTGTGCAGCGATCTTCGAGAAAAGCTGCCTGACTTACTTGCATATGCGCCGCATGCGTGAAGGGCATTCCGGCATTCCGGGGGAAAGCCATCCTCAACGGTGGAGATCACCAAAATTGTGAGTTGGACGGGTTCCCCAAGACCTTGCGTTCCATCTAACACGGCAAGTCGTGCACCTGCTCGCAGCACGTGGAGAGCGATTCCAGCATCGGATGTGCCGACAGCTCATCCAAGGCCAAAATATGGAAGTTTGCTGGACAAAACAGCTGAAAAGTCAATGCATGTCCTTGCTATTTCAAGTTCTGAAGCTCATTTCGGAGGCAGAAGGTTTGCCTTTGATCCAGCTTATAATTACATTCCTGTGCCAGTGCGGTCTAGGACTATGTGGAAATTCGGAAGTGCACATTCCTTTCTGATAAGCAAGGGTAGTGATTGGTATTCCTTGTAGCGGATACCTTGGCTCCCTGTGGTTGTAATCACGAGATAATGACCGATAAAGTCCCTTTGGACTGAGCCTAATGGCTACAGGAGGTTCATGTCAGCTCAAATCATCAAAACTAATGCGGGAAAACCAGCGAAAATATGCGAAAATGGACATGCTGATTCATGCCCACTTGGTGAGAAACAGCGCTCAAATCCAACCAAACCCCTGCCTACAGCGCCCTTCTGTAGTGCCTGCCAGGCACTTCCCAAGTCATATTTGAAGATAATAATCGGCGGGAGGCGGGACCTCTCTGTCGGTCCCAAAAAACCGCACATAACAACAGCACAATGGAAGATCCTCACTTCATTCACCAAATGACTAGATGGTTCAAGACAAAGCCAGGCAAGTCACAGCCCCCTCCAAAACCCTCCAAAACCCTTCAACATCGCAAATCAACCAAATCAACCAAATCAACCATCATCAATTTCACCAAGAAAACACCATCCATGTCGCATCAATTTCACCATCAACAAACCACCTCCGTAGCCAAGCGCCAGAGACGTTCTCCTGCACTGGGCGCAGAAAAAGGTCGCAGCTGCGGGCGTTGCCCAGCCAGGACTCCACGACTCACGGAGATGAAAATCTCCAAAAACCTGGGGGATTTACCCAAGAGCTGGAGGGTTTAGTATGTTTAGTAATGGAAAATCCTATTCAAATGGATGAAATATATGAAATCAAAAAAAAAGAAGGAAGATTTGGGAAAACCTCCATATGAAGGTGCAGTTTGAAACCCAACTGAGCTGTCTCTTCGTAGAATCAATCAATTTGGGTGTGTATGCATGCATGAATGTGGATGTTTGGCTATATGGGGTAGATCATATATTTCATCAATGTGAATGATGGGTGTATCTGGAAATGGGGTCTGTCCATCTACCATCAACCACCAAAATAGCCATTTCAATGAGGAGAATGATGATTGGATTTTGGGTGCCCTATTCTCAGACAAGCCCATATCAAGTTGCGGAGAAACACTTCAGCAGTTTCACAAACACCAGTTGTTTGATGACTAGTTCGAGGGGCGTATCCTTTCCAACACACTATATAATTAAATTGATTGTCACAAGCAACTGTGGAAATACCAAGGGGATTTTGACACTGCTCATTGGATGGAAGAATGGATAGATGATCAGCTGCTCTGACAAATAGGGTCCTTGCACATCAAACCTGCGCATACAAAACAGATATGCAGCTTGCATGTAAGGAATGGAATGGAACGGAATTGAATGGGGTCATGTGGGACAGTCCGACCATTTTCAAACCTGCCACGTACAATACAAGATTTAAAGCAGAATCTCTCCGTTTTCAACCCAGGGGTTTCCCCGTATTTTCCATGTCCGATGCAACACAAGCAGTATACACTCTCCTTCTCCATCCCGGTATTCCCCCCGTTTGAACCCAGGAATTGACGAAACAAAACGTACGATATAAAGCCCCACTTTTCAACCCAGGCATTCACGACACAAAACTTGTAATATCACCATGTATCACCCGATTTTCTCCTCAGTCGAATCAAGGGATCAGGTTCTTGTGTAAAAGAAACGGATAAGCCCAGGTGACTGACCACCAGCGGTGTATAAGACAAGACCCATTTTTCAATGTCAAGGAACTAGGTTATATACATCAAGCATCTAATCCCAGGTCGTAAAGACCCGTCTTGGATTTTTTGGATGCTTCTATGTACGGAGACATGTGTACATAGACATGTGTACATGGTTTACCCGCCCCATCAAAAAGAGAAAAAACTGGCTGGATATCATACTGTTAGCTGACACTTTACCGGTGGCCAGAGTTTGAAGCATGTCTGGAGTAGGACCTGAGTGCGGACCCTTCAAGCTCCCCCAAACTTTGTACCAACCCCGCTGTGCCGCCACAGAAACTGTGCTTTGATATCCAGAACTGTGGCCAAACCTTTGATCAAGGAGGCCACTCGGAAAATAAAGAAAAAGTCGCCAGTGTAGCTGTCGACCTGTGCTGAATTGGTTGAGCCAAAAAAAAACGGGCGACTGGTGGCAACACGCCAACTTGGATTGAATGATGCGCACGATTCTGGGAGGATGCTCGCGACCCCGCCCAGCACACGGAAAAGATTACAAGATGCAGTACCCGCCTGATGTTTGGAATCTTGAGGGGCTGAATCACAACCTTACATGCCCCTCCAGCCTTCGTATGTAGCTCCATTTTGTGTGACATTGCTTTCTGCATGGTCTTTCCAAACTTGGCCTGCATCCTGAATCTGCTGGTCGCACAGAGGCCAATTGGAAAGGTCACTACGCAGAAGTCACCCTCTTCGATATATATATATATACATATACATAACTCATATAACCATGTCAAGTTCCAGAACAAAATTATCTTCAATCAATGCTCAAGACAGGCATGATACAAAGACTGAGAGCACTGACGCAGCTTGATTTGGCGTTGCATTTCCCAAGCTTGGGCCTGCGTGATTCTTGCTTGTTTTCAATCAGGCTGATCTGCCGTAGAATCGCCAGCAGCAAGTCAGGCTCTGGGTCAGCATTAAGGGAAAAGTTCATGCCTTGGCCATAGGTGGGTGGAGCTGTTCAGTTGGGGCTCTGTTCGGGGAACAGTAGAGAGATTGCTGTCCAGGCGCCCATCTCCCTGAAAGCTTCGACGATACCATTGGTGTCCTCAGAAAATATCGGGGCGTATGCCCTGGGCCATCAGAGAGGACACTAAGTGATTCAGCACTTCCCTGTGGGGGCCCATGGGGCCAATGGGGCCCCACGCGCCTTCATGCCAACTGCCACAATCAGTTTGCCTTGGTAGCAGAAGATCACGCTTCTATCAGAGCTTCCTCGCTGCTGCGTCTGAGATGTTTGGCACAATGGGTTGATTGAGTTGATTGCACTTTGGCTCCCAAGCCATCCTACTTCACACCAAGACGTCTGCAGAAGAACTCCGTGATATCCACAGGGCACCACATCCCCTGCTAGCAATTGCCAAGCTGCATGCTGCTAAACGCCGTTGCTCACTCAGTTGCTTCGTCAGGCCCCAATCCAGCAAAACGCATTGCGCCTGGCATCATTGATGATGGATCCATGCCCACAGTGAATATCATTCACACATATACACATCTCCTCATATCATTGTATATCATTGTCATTCTACAATCCTCGCCGCAGTACAAAATGCACAACCCTTCCATGCCAAAAACATTGCAAACCCGCAACACTCCTCTGCAGCTCTCCAGGGTGCCTTCCCATCGCGGCGTGTCAGCAGGAGATTCCCTGCCTGCTGCAGCTATTGGAGAGCCACAGACAGATTTGCACCTATGGTTCTACATACAAATGTAGAGGTCCTAGATCCCAAATTCTCAAGGCCAGATTTGGCCACTTTGGCGGTGCTGACTCTAAGCTGATGGAAACTCACCATCCGCCCCAGCGGAAAAAAGGCCACGGCAAGGCACATGCGGATCACCATTGAAGTGTCCGGATACAAAGAGGCCATGGGCATAAGCCTTCACCAACGAGGTCATCACCTGTCACCCAGTTCTGCTGAAACCTCTGGTAACAACGGCTGAAACCACAAGAAACATCTCCATACATCAGAAAGCCAAAGACAGCCTGCGAAATAAACAACATGCATATCTATCTATCTATCTATCTATCTATCTATCTATCTATCTATCTACCTATCTACCTATCTACCTATCTACCTATCTACCTATCTACCTATCTACCTATCTACCTATCTACCTATCTACCTATCTACCTATCTACCTATCTACCTATCCTATCCTATCCTATCCTATCCTATCTATCTATCTATCTATCTATCTATGTCTATATATATGTATATATTATCAAAACCTCGTGATTTTTCCATGTTTAATCCTTCCAATATGTTTATATTACGGAAGTATCCTGTTTTTCGTTGTGTTTAACAGAGCCAAGGACGCCCCTTGCGCCCGGGAGCCCGCCTGCAAGCGTTCCTCTGGAGCCAAGAAAGCATCGCCAGCGCCCACCTGATGGCCATCCACCTGGGTGCTTTTTGCCCCCAAATCATAGCCCAAATCACATCATTCACATCAAATCGCCATGATTTTCTCATTGTTTGATCGATTTCGAGTGCGAAACTGATGATCTATACTTATCTATACTCAGTAATTGTATGTAATTGCGGCATTTCCCTCATTTGCTGTTCAAGGTTTGACTTGAATTTTGGGAAGAATGTTGCATCATGGAAGTTAGATCAATCATGATTTGGGATGCGAAGAATTCTCCTGGCGCCTGGCGCGGCTCTGATCAGTTGAGGGCCCCACAAATTCCATGACCAAAACGCGACGCCCACAGAGTGCGGGAAAGACTTCAGGGACCACCTCGCGAAGATTTCAATCGAACTCTTGGGACCTGCAACTGCAACTGCAACCCTATCAACTGATATCAACTGTATCCCTGCGCCAAACACCAAGATTCAATAGAAAAATCATGAAAAATCGTGTTTAATGACTATCAATGCGAAAGTAGTCCTCCCGAATGAGTCCAGAGCTGACATCTTTTAGTTCCCGGCTTCCTGCATGACAGACTTGTCACGATGCAGCTAGGCGACCATGTCCAATTTCGCCTCCATCAGTTCAGTACGGCCACGAATCCTTGGCGATTCAGTTGCAGGGACAAGATCAATCATGATAATCTCCAATATATTGGGTAATTTCTGCAATTAACCCCCCAGAATCATCACCTAACACGGGTTTTGGACACTGCTCCATTGGTAGAGATGTCACACATGGAACGGAGAAAGGAGCTCTGCATGACGGAGGATCATCTTTTCCCAGACTCTAGTGAAACAAAGATGTTTTGTCAAGGCGCTGATTCTTGGCCTCGTTTTGGAAGTCCAATTCCTCTAGTACAGCCCCAAGCCACTCTGTGACCTTGGCAAACCAGATTCAAAACATCGTACCCACAAGTGGCAAAGACTCGGCCGGTCGTTCCCAATGGGTGGCCACAGGTCTTGGGTCTCTGGCCACTGGCATGAGATCCACCTCACCCAGTGTCAAGATGTAGGCAAACCTGGCCAGAAGCCGCATGTACGCCACATCCTCAGCTGCAAATCGCAGCCAGGACAGCTCTCAATTGCTTAGTTCCTGTTCCTGTCATGACCAGCTGACCAGGATTGAAATTACATTGGTTTTGGATGTTTTGGCCAAATGTGCTGACACATCATCCTGTCATCCCAGGCCCCACAGCCCCACAGCCCCACAACAAGAAATACCAAGAAACCACAGGGATCTGCCTGGCAGCATGTCGGTGCTGCACTTTCACTGCCACCAGGCGCCCATCACGTAGGGTGGCCTGGAAGTGGTATCGGTAACGGATGAATCTGGAACGGTTGGTTGAGCCCAGGGATAAACCTATGGAAATCTATGGAAACCTATGGAACCCTATGGAATCCTATGGATCAATTGGATCCCCGGATGGAAATAGGATAAATCGGAAACATCTGTCGCCTTATGGACCTGGCCAATGGATGCGCTGGCGATGGGTTGCTCCTGGCAAAGGTGGGATTCATCACTGGTGCCAATCGTTTTTGCTGAACTTGGAAGCCTTGGAATCCTTGGAAGCTCGAAATTGTGACGCAAATTTTCCAGAAAAAAACAGTTCTCCTCAAAGTGTTGGAAGAGCTCTTCCACAGATTTGCCCAAGTCTTCCTCGCTCTCAGTGGATCAACGTATGGGCCAAAAAAATGACGTATTGACTCCCCGCATCCCCATTCGTTATTGGTAAATACCAATTGAGATTGGTGTTATCCCATTGTCATTGTGAGCTGTGTTTTCCAATCCATGTGGCAACTTAACTAAATAAACTATATTCATTCTATCTATCTATCTATCTATCTATAAATCTATCCATCTATCTATCTATCTATCTATCTATAAATCTATCCATCTATCTATCTATCTATCTATCTGTCTTGTCTTGTCTTGTCTTATCTTATCTTATCTTATCTATCTATCTATCTTATCGATCTATCCGCCTATCTATCTATCTATCTATCTATATCTATATCTATATCTATATATCTATCTAGATCTATCTATATCTATCTATATCTATCTA